CGTACAAAATCGAGTCCACGACAAATTACCAGGCGAACAGTTAATCTACCCCCAGGCGATTCTCGTGGGAATTCCGAGAGAAATCAAAGTCACATCTGTGTGATTCCTCGTGCGCTCGTTGGCCTCCCAGAAGCGAAGATCGATGAGGTGTCGCGTCTTTCGGGTGTCCCCACGCCCACTCATTCCTCCTCCACCCGTCGAACGAGCGCTTCCGGATTTTCCTCGTGGCTCGATCTCGAGAAAACATTATTACATACCCTACTCTCCGGAGCTAAACGGGGCATTCGTATATACTTATCAACGTGTGCATTTTGATGGATGACCTAAAGTCCGCGAGCTGGGCAATAAATCACAGGCGCATCATAACAACCGAGTAAGATGGAAAAAAACTCGGCGCATGAAATGTCAAAACTACGGCGCACCGGTAAAATACAGATGCCCCCCCCCCTCGTTGTTTGTTTTTATCACCCACGCAAAGTTACGCGAGCGCCGAAAGCACTGTTCGATCGCCGATGATATTTCAAGCAATATTCGAGGGAATAAAGCGCGACGTTGATCGAGGGGCTCTCCCGAAGCCGTGCAACCTTTCATTTTCTCCCTTTGCGCGCGCATCCGTCGGGGCGGGAATTTACATTCGAGCAGTGCAGCATTGTTCGGTCGTTTTCCCTCCGCGTATGAATCGCACGCGCCCCGGTTTTGGCCTCGTGTATACGCACACACTCTCGCCCGGCATCTCCGAGACGCGAGCAGCTAAGTGCGGGATTATGCAAAGCAGCGGCCATACAGTAGAAAAATACGGAGCGTCTCCGCGCCATCTTTTCCGGACCATTCTAATAACTTTGCCACTTCCTCTCGACCCTCCCTTCGTTCGTTTTCTCCTCCGTGCCGAACGTACCGCGCGTATATACACACGTAAATGGAAGAGGACTGGAGCCTACACGCCTCGTGCCTTCGCATCTGCCTGCAGATTCATTTTACGCGATTTCATGGCTCTTCTTCTTTTTTTTTCTTTTCTTTTATTTTTCGCCAACAGAGCCAGAAGAAGAAGCCGCCCCGCACCGAGGAGCGATTGCGCCCTAGTGTCATGTTAATGGCCCCGAGACTGCGCTCTTGTTTTTTTTTATTTTTAGTCTGCGAGGGTTTCATACGCGGGGAAGACAAGTGTCAGTTGGCTGCTGTTGTTGAATTCTCGACTAATTTTTTTGCCATTGTATCTCGATGTGGAGAAAAAACAAACAAACAGATCCTCATTCCTCGTCCACCGAGCACGGACAACGGCACGTCTCTTCCTCTCTTCGTCACCGACCCGGAGAGCCGAGAAGAAAAGCCAGGGTCCCAATCAGGCGTGCACCGGAGCAGCAACACAAGCTCGAAACGCTCGAGCGCCCGTAATTGTCATCATAAACGTGCACAGGATCGGGGACAAACGCGTCGCTTTAGCGTCGCGCAGTGCCAGTCACGGGGCAGCAGTGATGGATGGAGTATTGCGCGTTTAGACGCATCGTTAACTCGGCGCGAACGTGCGTATTTGTCATTCCGGTGCTGGGTAATGGCGACGGCGTTGCAGTTGATGCTTTCGTTTCAGATGCGTTAATTATGGAGCGTTTGGTCTTAGCTCGGGGGAACATGATAACACGTCGTGCTAGATTGATTTTTAATAGAATCATCGGATTGTTCCAGAGCTTTTGTTCAGAACTAAAAGTTCACTCCATGATGCTTGAGGTGCACAAAAATAATAGTGCAGTAAGTTTTTTCATAAAAAATTACTTTAAAGATGAATCGAGGTATTTTTTTTTTTCAACAATGGTATTTAAAGTCAACAATGGTTTATAGTTGAGCTACACTAAAAAAAAACTACTGAGAAAACTAAATAAACTCCATTTTTACTTAACAACTTCTTCAAATACAAGTAATCAAAAAAATGTCGCATATAGCTAAAAGTGATTTAAATCGCAGAAATATCACATTATGTGTCCAGTAGTACAAACAAATATATGGTCAGGCGAGGCGAAAAATGTCACTTTTGAAATAAATAAAGCTATCATTGAGATTTAATAATGAGTACACAATACATAAAGCCGTCTGTTAAGCAGAAAAGCGCATGAAAAATCAGTAGTACAAGTCAACGATCTAGTCAGACACAAACCAAAAATACACTTTTGCGAAGTTCCCTTATATTCTACCTTCAAAAGCAATTACGTATACCAAAGTAATGATCAACCATTTCTTGAAACACAACCCTTCCAAAAGTACAGTTCATCTCATTTGCCAATGATGGCAATCTCAAGCACAGGAGAGCGGGGCGGTGGAGGACTCTCCTAAGACGCTGACTGTTTCTCTCTCCTCGTGGTGTTATCTCTGTGCACACGGTGGCTGCGCTCCGCGAGTCGAGTTCGCTTATGTGTTACGTGAATATCTTACCGAAACGCCTTTCCGCTGGATACATGTGTAATATGCGACTGCTACGCGTGAAACGCTGTGGTATATAGTGTGTTTGGTAGCGCTGCGATACATTTAGAGGAACGATTGCGGGCACACGTGTGCTCTGTTGCATATATATGGCGCGCATACGTGGCGTTGATAATAACCACGATTGAAATGCGTGCCGTGTACTTACACGCAAAAGGGAGCCCGAGACCTCGTGGGTTCACATAAAGGAGAGACGGGTAGTCGAGTAAAATTGAAAAAGTCGTAACACCCACCGCGGGCCCTCCTATTTGTCCCGCGAAGCCATCACGCATTCAATTTGTCAGCGACTCAGGCGGAAGATCCAGTCTAGCGAGAGCAGGTGCGATATATTTCACGGCTTAATTCGCGCTTGGAATATGATACTACAGCGGCAGCTCTTAACTCGGAAAATATTCTTCACCCCGGAGTTATGACGACGGTAATACACTCGGCTGTTATTTTCAAACTAATTTTTTTTCCCTCTCGGCACCACACGGGGATGCTTTTATATTACTCTCTCGGGCTATATCGCCAGCATCATAAAAGTCAGCGGGTGGGAGGGAGAAATTTTAAATCAAGGAGGAGGAAGAAGAAGAAGCAGCCGACGCCGGTAGTGGTCGTACGTATGCAAAGTATTAAGGGAAAGGGCCGTTTATCAAATATGCATTAACGCTCGCTTGATTAATGATCCCGGCTCGCCCGGAGTAGTAGAAACATCCATTTCTCACGGACCGCTGCCTTATTTCCCTCGCCGATGCCAGATTTTTCTCTTGGCTCGTCCTGCGAGATCGGACGGTAAACAATATTGAATTTCAACGATTCACCGATAGTCACGAACGAACGGTGACCGTAGCGAGTTATCGCTTTGGAGGAGCGCATCGATGAATATACGTGGGTGCTGTGTACATCCTTGTCCCGGGAGGTTGATCCGAGAGGCGGCGCTCAAAAAGTCATTACAAGTTTTTGTCGATCCCATCGAGGAGCTTAATGTCCCTCAGCCCACAGGGATGGACCCCTGAAGGATTCCGCAACGGAAAACCGACCGACGGCTCTCACATGCCCCGGAGAAAAATCGATGGCCTGCGGCCGGCTTATGATTGATCACCCATTGGTTCCAGTTCATAATACCGCTGCTCCAACCTCCCCCTGCCTTTGATTTTTCCTTTTGCTCGCCACTTTGGGAAATAGTTATTTCTTTCTTGTTCCATGTTTATGTCGATCTTGGAGCTTACAATGCGAGGCTTTGGTTAATCTATATTTTATAGTTGACTCACAACCACATTTTGGTTGAAAAAATGAAAGACTTGGATTGTTTTGAACGAGTATCATAACTACCCCTAATAACGACACATTGTAACCAAAGGCATTTGAAAAATCCTCCACCAGCCAAGTAAATCCACCATAGCGAAAAGACAAAGGCTTAGTAAAATTAGTTTCTCGGCGCGTAACAAGCAATCAGGTGCTCGGTTAACCCCCAAAGGGAAAGTAAAAACTACCTGGGAACATGAAACAAAACAAAAAATGGTTCCAGCAAAAGGCTAGAAGAGGCGGAGCTCTTGGCGCCTTTAAAACAAAAATTAGCGTAGCACAGGTATACGTCGAAAGATCGTTTTTCAGCGCAGAATTCACGCGAACCCCGAGCATCAGAGAGGAAACGCAGGAAGCAGATGAACAGAGTAGAAGGGGTGGGGGCCCCACCAGGTTAACAGCGGAGCTTCGACAGGCAGAAGGGCAGAGAGAGGTGAGAGCCCATAAGGGGCCGTAGCGGCCCTCTCCTGGTGGCGCGCGCATACACACATGTGTCGAACCTTAAAATATGTAGGCGTGGCTGCGTGGGAGGCAGCAGCACGGCTACCTACACTATACCACCACCGTAGGAGCAGACGCGACGCCGCGGGCACGAATATGTTCGCCACCCCCTCGGCAGCAGCTACCAAAGCGCGAGTATATGTACCCTGCGTGGGGGGACAAAGTCATCGCTCCACCCCCCGGCGCGCCCCATTGGCGGGTCCGTACGGCTCGCCTCCACCTGCCGGTGCCAAGCAAGCTCCCAGTTACGAAGAGTGCCTTTGGATCGGCTGGCGCTCTAACCCCCTAAATACGGGGTCGCGCGAGCCCGAGGGCTCATTCGGTCGTGGCTCTCCCTGGCCGTCGCGCGTGCCTCGCTCCGGTTGTGTCCTGCGCGCGCATCTGTAACACATCCAGCAGCCGTTTGCTCGTGTAGTGCTATATAAATTGTGCACTTGTGTATATGTTACTGATTTGACTGTTTCCTCGGATCGGGCGCTTCTGCTTGAGGTGACGGCGGAATTTAGTTGCTGGCACACTCGGCACGAGGTGTGACGTGCGTCGGGCCTGAAGTTGTTTCCGCTGGATCCACGATGTTGCACAAGTGCTGACGGACGGTTCGTGATATTTCCCACTGGTCGACTTGTGGTAACGGATCTTCCTTCCCAAGGGTGAGTTTTTGTCAGAAAAATACTTGAATTTTTCGCTTCACGGGTCGACAAATGAAACTGAGCTGATTGCCAACGTCTGTTTTAGCAGCTGAATAAATCGCGTCGTTCGAGAAAAGGGGAAACCCAATAGAAGCTGAACGATCGAAAGCATCAATCGCCGGCACGATGACAATGGAAGAACGACCCAGCGGCATCGAAGACGGCTCTCCGGTGATCTCGACTGGCGCCCCGGTCAACTCGTCGACTCTCCTCCTCGCGAAGTCGAGCTCCAAACAGTATGGGACAACCGACGCCTCGTACCCCCTCCAGCGCCCCGGCAAGCGGTCCTTCGACGTCGCCTTTCTAGTTGCGCCCGACGAGAAGTTGATCAGCCGCCGGCAGAGCGAGAAGCTCGCCAGCTTGCAGCAGTACTGCGCTAGTCGACTCATGACCGATGCTATCCGGTCGCACCAGCTGGTCTCGCGCGACGAACACAGCGATGACTCCCGCGAGAGCGAGCTGAGCGACAGAGCGCCCCAGAATCTCACGATCAAGCACTTTGCGGACAGCGAGCATCACCACCACCACCACCACCACAACGCCAAGTACGGCAAGACGGTCCAGAGTAGCCCCAGCCCACCCAGCGCCTTCCAGCGCCGCAAGCTCTTCGAGGACGGCGAAGCCAAGGGCACCTGTGACGGTATCTCCTGCTCGGGTGATTCTAGGAGCGCGTTTACCAAAGTTAGCCTGGCCACCCAGAGGAGCCCGAATGGCATCGGCTTCGACGATGGAACGGCCTCGCCGAGATCCTCCTCGTCGGTCTCACCCGACGTCATAGCTTACCAGAACAGCCTCAGCCCGCCCATCGGCCCTGCCAATCCGGGAAACCACCTCAGAACTGCGGGTTGCTTTCCCAGCAAGATCGCGACGGCCTATCCCTTCCTGATGTCCTCGTCCCCCGAGAGACAACAGCAGCCGCAGCAACAATCGCCACCACCCAAGGTCTCCAGACCCGAGCTGCCGTCCGCGGTTTATCCGAGCCTGCCCTACAACCCACTGTCCGTCTTCCCACCCATCGGGGACGCCCTCGTCCGTCCCCGTCTCCTCGCTGCGGCGAGCTTGCTGCCCTCGTCCCTGGCGGCCCTCGCCCTCCCTGCCCAGAACGTCTGCGCCAAGTGCAACCTGTCCTTCCGCATGACCTCGGACCTCGTCTACCACATGCGCTCGCACCACAAGAGCGAGGGCCAGGGCGAGGCCGCGCGCCGGCGTCGCGAGGAGAAGCTGCGCTGCCCGGTCTGCGACGAGAGCTTCCGCGAGCGGCACCACCTCACCCGGCACATGACCGCTCACCAGGACAAGGAGAGCGACGCGGTCCTCGATCAGGCCGAGGTGGCCAAGAGGCGCGGCGCCGCAGCCGCCACCGCCGCCCTCGTGCACTCGGGCAAGTGACGGCAGCGCAAAGCGCTCGAGGGCCTCGCTGGCCTCAATCTCATGGCCCGGTTCGCCGAGAACGGTGAGCACGGCTTTGAGTAAATGCTGCTAGTTGAGATCGGCACCTGACCCGATCAAATTCTCGTTCAATTATACATTATTTTATTTGTTTACTTTATTTTATTTTTACCTCAAGTTGCAGTCTATTTAAAGTTTATCTTTGATAGACCATGTACTGCTGTAAATACCAAAGAAACGTCTCCGACAGACACTCTCGCTCCCTCGCCCAAAGGGGGCCCATCCCGTCTAGTCAATATTAGGCTTAAGTACGCGCACACTGTACATAATATACATATTTATATCCAAACTAGAGGACTTTTTTCTTTTTTTCTTTTTTTTTTTCGAGCCGATCGGTAACGAAAACGCTCGATGACACGTGATAATTTACTCATAAGCATATGATGTAAGTGTAACGATGGATTATACAAGCGACTTCTAAATGTAAGCGTAGTATTTTGCAAAATTACCTATTGTACTCCCGGGTAACTTACGCATCTGATCGGATGCGCATGCACGTAAGCTAAGAATATAAATTTTGCTCGAAAAACATGCGGCGGCCTCTCGAACGCTAAAAATGATATGTAATATATGTCTTCCTCACCCCCGACTAAATCGGCGATTAACCCTGCGCAAGCAAGAACTGCATCGGTGGGCATGAGATACGCGCGAAATCAAGTATACGCGAGTCGTGGGCACATCTCGACGCGAGAATCCAATCGTCGGAATGCACACACCCGGAGTGTTGTAGGGGGTGGTGGGAACGAGATCAGTCGCGCGCGCACACGCCTAAATGCACCGAGGCTCGCGAGTGCCGTCGGATCGCGCGCGCCTGGCAGTAAATAGATCGTAAACCATAATAGCTACGGCGATCCTCTGGAGCGCGCATAATCGAGGTATAACACAGGCACCGGGAAACAATGAATGCCGTAATCGCAAACAGGGCCGTTGGCTTCGTTATCTGACGTTTACGCTCCATTTAACTTGAAACGCCGAATCGGACGCCCAGCGGACTTTTAAACAGAGGCGCGCTGCTCTCGAGCGGGAGACAACGACGGGAGCCGCAATAAGGTCTACCGTTGTATACTTTGCAATGTCGGGCGAAAATTACTCCCGGCAGATTTCGACCACGACCGCCGGCTGCTACTTTCCCTCATCGCTTGCCGTATTCTTTCGTGAATTAAAATGTTTTTCGTTGCACCGCTTGGCTATTGTTATCGTCGTCGTTATTGCTGGTTTTTGTTTCCCGGTGATTTTCATCGCAAGAGGCTCCCCGTCGTTTCTTCAATTGTAATTTTACATCTGTGCATTGTACTTATCTTTCAGAGGAGTCACTTACACATGTCTACAAGAATATTAAGCACACGTGAATGAGATTCGAAAATTCACATTTATATACGTGTTAGGAAATTTAATAATTCAACGTCTTTTTTAACAAAAACAAAACAAAAAAAATTTAATCAAACTCGTAAGGGGAAATTCAATCCCTCGGTGTATTTCACAAATATACAATATTATCATATGCGATAACGACTGTAGGTTTATAGGAAAAAACTTTGTAATATAAAGTAACGTACGAAACTTGTAGCGTATACACATTAGTTTGTGATATGAACTTTTAAAAAATTTTTTGTTTCATTTAAGAAATGATTTATCGCTAGATCGAATTGTTAACGTATTTCAAATATAGGTATATTAACATTGTTATCTCTCGCATCCGTGTAAATATGTCGCACCTGTACATACATGTATGCCCTCACAACAACTGTATTGTATTCATTCGAAAAACTGTTGTTGATTATTAATGATAAATAAAAAAAAAAAAAATAATAAAAAAACTGAAATATCAATCCTCAAAATGACGTATCGCTTTACTTTTTTCTTTCCATACATACATCCCAACAAAACAATTCATTTTCCTCGAACAAGCAAATAGTATACGTACGAGGCGGCGATGCTAAAAGTTCCATCTGCGCGAGCACTTCACGTCGTACTACCCAAACTTCCGGCAAATCCTCGAATATCGAGCAAACGTTGAAACTTTCTCTCCCACTCCCGGCTCCTCGCGGCGAAACAATAAACGCGATCCCCGAAGAAAAAGCTGCTCGGCGCGCGCTCATCCTAATTTGATGCCCGGGCCAGTATGGTCGTGCCCCGATAAAACTTATTTCTCTCGGTCATTCGTTAGCACGGCAGAGAGAGAAGGAATACACTTCTTTTCCCGTTTGCGGACGCGTCCTTCCACCCGCCGATCGGTAGTAAATCACCGAAAGCCGATTACGAGCCAGCAGATTAATTTCCCGAGGAGCTGCCCGTACCCCCGTCCTTTTGAGGTCTGCTACTTACGGGGGTATGGTCGGGGGTCATTGTATTAAGAATATCATAAGCTCGCGCACCTATAGCTACTGTATGTGTGTTGCACGTAATTTCGGCCAACTCTTTGTGGTACGTTCGACACGTGCTTTTGTTAATAATAAATCGTGTTGCTCGAGTTATTGGAACGAGAAATTTTGCACGTTGGTTTCATTGGAATAAAACAAAATTTTTGTTCGGTTGATAAATATTTTTTATTTGCAAAGTGTGTAATTTGGGTCATTTTTTTTTTTTTTTTTTACAAATCTCCATGACTTTTAAACCTCAACACCGCACTACGTCTTAGTAGGTCAGAGGTGAAAGAGAGGTAAAAATACGCTCTACTGAGACCTCTGGGAAACTGTAAGTGGGTTCTAACTTGTGCCAACTGAAGGTGTAATAAAGCTTTTTTAGCCCATTGTTACACAATGATACAAACGAATACATAATAATAAATTCAAGGGGTGTGTTTACGATTCCTCCATAACACATTCAATTTTTTTTTCTTTACATCTTATATAACTGTAAAATTTAATAATACAGAAAATTAATCCATTTTTTGTGTGTATAACAAAAAAAATTTTATCTGTACTCCTCTATTGTATTTTCTGACTATTCGTGCTACTCATTCGATGGACATTTCAATATCGCGTGATTTTTCTTTTTTCTTTTTTTTTTAAATCTGATACTTGGTAAATAAATGTTATTCTGCTGTCTGGAATATTCAAGTCACTGTACCAGTTAAATTTTTCAGAATCCATATAATTTGAGATCAGGTGAGAAGTCACTGATTATATGACATTAACTTACTAAAGATAGTTTAAATCGCGAAAGAAAAAATTAATTGGTATGTTCAACGAGATACCTTTAACCGAGCCTAAACTGATATTTTGATATAGGAATGAAAATAAAAACTCAATTGAAAAAATGTGCGAAACGAGTGTTACTCTTTTAGATAATTTACTCTGGAGATATGAAGACTCCAAGAAGTTTGCCTGAACGAAGGCATTTTAAAATTCTGCATAGGCCAAAAAAAAGTTGAACCACATCTACAGTCAGCAACATACATGAGTAATAAAAGTAATCACAGTCGGCCACACGACTCGAAGAAGATCTCATTCATTCGCCACCGAAGGGAGCAGCCGCGAGCGGCAGATCAGCGCAGCACCGATTTTATCGCGAGCGAAGAGAGAGAGAGAGAAAGAGAGAGAGCCTCGTAAGTGAAATCACGTTTCTCGCACAAGTCAGTCGCGAAGGGATTCCTTATACTCGTATCCCCCCTTAAACGGATAATACGTAAGCCGAACGTAGGCCCTGGAACCGCAGCCAATACGACAAACAATCTCTTACCGCGCCCTCGACGCGGCTTAACTTCAAGACCCCCACCCCCGCTCCTCGGGGGCCGAATATAAGTGTACTTACCCTCTGCCCGAGGTCCATAAAGATAAATAACACGAAGCACCCGGCACGCTGGATCCCTTTTAACCGAGGCTCTCGAAACTTTGCCCGCTCCGTTCTCCCGGCGTTCCTTCTTACTCCTAATTTTTCTCCCCCCGCTCTGCTGCTGTCCTCGTCATCGTCACCGGCTATCTCTACTCGGGGCTCATCTTTGCTACTTTTCTTGCTTACAAAGCCATCGCATTGCTTAATTTTTAGGGAAACTTATCGTTTTGGAAAGAGAGGTCAACTTGGCTCTGCAATGAAAAGAGAGATGTATAAACTCGGACTTTTCACCCAATACGGTAACAACAACTTTTTACTTGTCCTGGTTACCTGAATGAATAAGTTGACCCCTTTTCGCCACGTAACTCGAGTTTGCCGTTTCTTCTTCCCGAGCGGCAAAATCTCATGAAACTCCTCCCACAACTCGTGAATTATATGTTTACATTATGAAAAGGTATGGAGGTTTTTTTGTATTTTCAATGGTATCTTTACATCTCTTGGATGTATTCCTCGAGTGTCTGCGTGGAAGAAAAAGATAAGAAAGTATGTACAATTTAAAAAGAAAAAATATGGCTGGTCGGACAAATGACTTTGTGTCGGCAACATTTTTTGGTCCTAAACATTTCAAAGGGTTGCAAATCACATTGTATGGGCATCCCAATAATTTTAAAGGAAACAAATAAACCCTAAAAGAACGTCAATGATAATCCAGATAAAAATCGGTAAATGAATAACAAGTAATTGAATACCCATTCCAAGTATAACTAAAAAAGTGCCCTCTGAAAACACGATGATGGCACCATCCCCGTGTTTTTATAACCACCGACAAGAGCGCAAATCTCCTTAATCCCTTCCGACTCTGACCTTACCCTCGCTCCTGGCCTCTCTGTCTTCTCACCCTCGTTAACGGTTCAACTTGGCTCTCATCGTGTAGGGTCGCAAGTCCTAACATACACTCACACACATATACATATACACAGCTGGCCATTTAATGTATAAATAAGCGAGAGATATGTATATGTACACGAGGCGAGCAAGCATGCTTGTTCTGTCAGTGAAATCATGACGATGTGATGTAGCGCCTAGTGCCTGTACCTGCTTATAATATATATACACACGTATAATACATACAGGGCTGCGTTTCGACACGGACGCCACTGCCACGT